TATTTTGTATTTAGAAAAATGGCAATCTCAGAATATCTTTTCCCTCATGAGAAATTTGCATACATGACAGGAAGCCATGGTATGAACAGAACTAGACAAAGCAACTGGCTCTAGGTTGGCAAAGCAGTGTGACAAGGCTTACTTATTCCACCTATATGCTGAATATATATGAAGAGAAGCTGAATTGGAAGAAAGTGAGCAGAGTTTAAAATGGAAGGAATTCTGCTATAGATTTCTGCTAGAAATTTGGGTTTATTTTAACATATCAAAACTTTCAAACACCGAATTGACCATAAATTTAAGGATGGAGCCCGCCTTCTGGGCCGTTCCAAAATGGCGTCGCTCGGAGCTCCACTGCCTTTGGGGAGGAGCTACCACGAGCAGGTCTCATCCCTCCAACGACTGCAGGCGAACTGCGAAGATCAGGGCGGGTCCGGCACCGCCCCACCTACCTAGATGACTACACATGCTCCAATCAGGGGCATGCACTCTAAGCCGGGTGGAAGGGGTGTTGAGGATTCATAAAATCCTCCACTTATGACCGGGAGGCCAGCAACAGTCTAGGCTGCACCCTGATTGGCTGAGGCGCAGCATAGCCTGTTGCTAGCCAGCCGAGCCAACCTGATTGGCCAGGGTACTGCGTCAGCAGTTGCTAGATGCTACCCGGCCTCCCATTGGTTCCCCCTGTTAAACGAAGCTAGTATAAATACCTTGGTGCGGAATTGTTACTTTTGAATCGCTGTCAGCTCCTGCTTCTTCAATAAATCTGTTCTTGATTGAAGTCCTGGCTCTCGCGTCGTTCCTACCTCGATCCTTTAAAATGGGGACTTTCATTCCCAGAATTCCCAGCTATAAAGACTGAGCTATCTGGAAAGGATCAGGCTGAGAAAGAAAAAATAAACAGATAGACGGGGAAATTCAAAGTCTGGACTGGTGCTGATGCAGTTGATATTTACTTACGTATTTTTCGGCGTATAAGATGCACCTTTTTCACTCAAAAAAGAGGCTGAAAATCTGGGTGCATCTTAGATACTGAATACAGCATTTTTGGCCTCCTGAAACCCCTCCCCCTTTGCAAAAATGGCCGTGCATAGCCTTTAGAAGGCTTCCAGAGTGCTCCTGGGGGCTGGGGAAGGCAAAAATGAGTACAAAAACAGGTCGCTTTTTGCCCACCCAGCCCCCAGGACCACTGTATAAGCCTTCTAAAGGCTATGCATGCCCTTTTTTGACAAAAAACGGGCCTGTTTTCATGAAAAATGGGCTGTTTCTTGCTCATTCCCCCCCCCCGCCTCCAGGAGCACTCTATAAGCCCCCTAAAGGGTATGCATTTTTTGACAAAAAACAGGGCATTTTTGGGAGGTCTGTAGAGTGCAAAACCCTTTTTTTTTTTAAATTTGCCTCTTCAAAATCTTGGTGCGCCTTATACTTTGGTGTGTCTTATACTCCCAAAAATATGGCAGTTCTGGAGAGAGAACAAGATTATTTCAAAGATTATATTAAACCTCTGTAATTCCATGCTTGCCTACCACTTGGGCAGCCCAGTTACTAACACCCCGAGACCTGGCACCAGGCCGTGGACCAGGGATTGAGGACCCCTTCCTTATCTCATACATTTTATGCCAGCTGGCCCTATCAAACGTTCTATCCAGCATCAAACTTTATAGCATTTTAATGAAGATGTTGTCTGGTTGTGGATTTTATTTCCTTTTTTTCTCCTCCTGACCAAGTAAAAACCATCTGTTTTGCCTCATGAAACATGATGGATGAAGAAACTCTGTTTGACCACAAGGGGTTGCTGTTTGCTCACATTGCCATATGCAGAAATGGAAAGCTTTTCCTTCCACAGTCTGGCTTTTTTCTTTGACAAATCACATGATTAGGTGATTTCATAAAAGCAGAAATCTATGACCAAAAGTTGCAGTGGGTAAGAAGGCTTTGATGCTCTTTGAACCATTTCCAAAAAACGTGATATCTTTGATTTTCCTGCAACTAAATGATTTTGTATTGTTAAACAATACACGCCTTTCTGCCTTATGCTTACATTGAGCAGGAATGTTCTAGGACACTTCTAAAATTCAGGAAATGGCACTGAAAAGTTTATCCATTTTTACACATGTAATTTTTTAGTGAAAAAATCATTGAGTGGTTTTTTTTTTCTCTAAGCAATATAAAGTCCCTGGCTTTCAATCTTGCTTAAGAAGTTTAAGGAAGAGCTTTGAACTGAGAAAGCATTTGTGTTCTGTATTTCAGAAAAATGTATGGAAAATCCAAGTGACATAATGAACAGGGGATAAAGCTTTTTTTTGAATTGGAAGGCTCTTAACAACATCAATTAAAACACGTTGGACAGCCAGCTTTTCCTTAAAATAACCTCACTCATTGTAATAAGAAAAAGAAAATAAAGCAGCAATGGAATCAAAATGGAAGCCGTACATTTTTTTAAAAATTAACATTTTATAAATTCCATGAATGTACCAAGCAGTTGCACAATAAAATCCTCATCTGTCATTCCTCATATATCTATTTCTTAAGGGAGTTCTCTGTCTATACAGTTTTCAAATGATTGGCCAGGTGAATATAATGGTCTTATCTTGCAAAGTGGTTTTTTAGATTTAAATTTTAGATGTTATGTTTTTATGTATTTATATTTTTCTCTTAGTATCAAGGGGTGATTGAGAACTACCTAACCGAATCTATAAAGCTCAGTCCGGAAGATCAGCCCACAACCAAATGTTGCTGACATCCCATTTGGAATGATTGACATTTGGATACAGTCTGAAAGTTGGCACATGGAACAGCTGCTGCTCCTGGGGAATGCTGCCCATCAGGGTAAAAGATGAACTGATATAACAATATTGCCCTCTGGCATCCCAGCAAAGATGAAACAGACTGCTTAACACAGAGACATTTAGGAATCAGCATCAAGTATTGAGAAAATAGTTACCAAGCTGAAAGATTTATGACCGTACTGTATCAGTCAGACCTTTCTCAGATGCCACTTTGAAGTTCAGATTTATGTTCCAGTACACTCCATGGAATGACCTGATCTCATATTGAAATTGACTCCTAGATTTTGTCATGTTCTTTTGGTAAAACCATAGAAGATAATATCTGGTCCAGTTTGATGTTTTCTAGATACAGCTTAATTCCCAGATGTGCTGAAGGTGCTAGAGTGAGTTGGGGAAAGCTGATCTACATAGTTCAGACTCAAGCTACTTAAATTATATTATATTATATATAATATAATATAATTTAGAGTCTAACCCTAACCCCTGGTAAGCCCCAATTATGGGAGGAAGCTAACTGCTTCCATCATCTGTCAATCGGCTCGTCACAAGAGTCCATCACGACAGAAACCCAATATTTTTACTGTTGCCTTTGTTATATTTGTGTTATATATATATAACTAAAGGGAGTTAGTTATATATATAAAACTAATTTATATATATATAAATAAAGGGAGACTAGTATAGATCTATTTCAAGCTACTAGTCTCCCTTTATTTATTTATCAGCACAAATAAAAAAAAACACAAATAGGCAACAGTAAAAATATTGGGTTTCTGTCGTGATGGACTCTTATGACGAGCCGATTGACAGATGATGGAAGCAGTTAGCTTCCTCCCATAAT